CAGTGGCTGCAAGGATGGGCTCAGGCATAGGAAGGACTGTGAAACTGGCCCAGGACGGGGCAGTGTTTCATTCTGCTTTACATAGGGTTGGTCGCTATACGTCAGAGCTGACTCAATGGCACCTAACAACAACAACAACAACAACAAAAAAAAGATAATTGGACCCAGTCTACCATCTAAATACTGCCTAAAAGAAGGGAAAAGTTTGCAATGCAACTATTCTAAAACCAGTCATCATTTGTGGAAGGCAGACCCCACATTCAGCTGGCTTTTAGAGTAGTAACTCTTCACAGCATCACTTAGCTGGTTTTTAAAAGGCACATCCAAAAGTTGAATTATCCACAAGTGCTTTACATTTAAGATCTTTTTAACATTTTTTATGATATAAGTGGAAATTTTATCATTTTTCTATGCTACAGTTATTGTAGCCACCTGTACGTGGTTGAATAGTGTCCCTTCAAATTTCATGTCCACCTGGAACCTGTGAATGTGACCTTATTTGGAAATAGGGTCTTTGCAGTTGACATCACACTGGATTATGTTGGTCCCTGAATCCAATGTGACTGGTATCCTTATAAGAAGAGGGAAATTTGGACACAGAGACACAGACACAGAGAAGGAAGAGAGCCATGTGAAGGCAGACACAGATATTAATTATAGTGATGAAGCTATAAGCCAAGAAATGCCGTTTCCTGAAAGACGGCAGAAGCTAGGAGAGAAGCATGATCACAATTTTTCTTAGAGCCTCAGAGGGAGCATGGACCTGAAAACCCCTTGATATTAGACTTCTAGCTTATAGAAATATGAGAAAGTAAATTTCTATTATTTTAAGCCACCCAGCTGATTACACTTATGCAGTCTTAGGAAATCAAGATACCACCCATTTTGCCATAGAACTTGGGGACCTTGTCCACACAATTTTCTATGCTCTATATCAAACCCATAATAACTTCTAGAAATCTGTTGGCCAAGCCTCTGGGGTCCTTGGCTTGCCTCTCCCTATGAAGAAGCAGAGTGGCCTTCTCTTCAGGCTAGTGTCTGAAAGGTCAAACTCCTGAATGACACTACATGACCTCAACTGACGCAGCAATATAGCCAAAGAGAATGTCCTCAGATTGACTGCCATTTAACTCTTAATAAGGCCTCAAACCATAACCAAACTCACTGCCGAGTCGATTCTGATTCACAGCAACCCCCATTAGGTTTCTGAGGTGGTAAATCTTTACAGAAGTAGATTGCCCCATCTTCCTTCCACGGAGCAGTTGGTGGGTTTGAACCACCAACCTTCTGGTTAGCAGTCAAATGCCTTAGGCACTATGCCACCAGAGCTCCTTATAATAAGGCCTAGTTGAAAATAAATTTCTGAGGACAATGTCTGAAGAATAGGTTGTCCATCCATTCTTCCAGACTAGCTGTTGTAAACATGCTATTTTGAGCCCACAGATGAGTCTGTATTCAGCCACAAAAATATCCACAAAAATTCCCATAAATATCCAAATTGCTAATGTCTATTGAAAAGTCAAAAGATCCAGCATACTGGGCCTGCATTTCTACAAAGCAAAAAATCAACTGGAGTTGAATTTTTTAAAATGTCCGTTGTGATGCTATCTCTACTTTGTCACAATGCCCACTTGGCCCACTTCACTCATTTACCTGAGGCATTTGAGTTTTCCAGGCATGCTATAATCACTCAATTCTTTATTTCTGGAATAAATAAGCCAGATCAACAAAGCTGCACATGCAGAGAGCAGCCTTTGTACATACACTTCAACCATCACCATCACCACTACCATCTCTCCCCTGGACTAAGTTTGCATTCTGCCATCTGCTAACATTAAGGGTGTTTAACAAGGCCAATCGTGATACACGATGGTGTTTCCTGTGAGGATGCTGTTGAGGATGTGGGTACCCATGTCCAATACCAGATGTTATAGACTGAATTTTGTCTCCACAAATATGTGTTGTAAATCCTAACCCCTATACTTGTGGATGTAATACTATTTCAGAATAGAGTTTTCTTTGTTATGTTAATTAAGTCATATCATTTAGGGTGTGCCTTAAACCAATCACTTCTGAGATATAAAAGAGCAGATTAGGCACAAAATCAAGGGAACACAGATGGGGAAAGACAGATGCCATGCCACATGGTAATCACCAAGGAACTGAGAACAGAAGCTAAAAACAGACAAGGGCCTTCCCCCAGAGCCAACACAGAGAGATAGCTTTCCCCTATAACCAGTGCCCTAAATTCAGATTTCTAGGCTCCTGACCTATGAGAAAATAAGTTTCTATTCATTAAAACTACCTAATTAGGGTATTTCTGTTACAATAGCACTAGCAAACTAAGACATCAGGAATAGATGTTCTCAAAAGCAAATTTTCATAGTCTTAGGGGCCTGGGAACATGTAACTGGGTATGAGTCTTTCTTATGCTGGCTGCTTTAAGCTTCAGAGGTAAATTTTACTGTGTCAGCAAGGGTAGACAGATGCTTCTGTGGTTTTGTGTTCTGCACCAACCTCTCTGGTCATTCTAACTGATCTTTTCTTCCCTTATTGTTTCCTCATCCCCATGATTTTGCCCATTTTTTAAAAGTTGTTTTTCTTACAGTATTTCTATATAAGTCACCTTAAGTCATTTCTGGAACAAGGTGAAGATATAAATCAATTAATTTCCCTTTTCTAATTAAGTGAGGTTATGCATGAATTATTTCTTGTGTTATTACTTCCTCATGTCTTCCTGCCCAGTCCCTCCTTTTAAATAATAATAATAAAAAAAAAAAAAACAGAAATAGGAAACAGGAAAACTCTCTGGTGGTGTGGTGCCTAAGGCACTTGAATACTAACCAGAAGGTTGGTGTTTCAAACCCACCAGCCACTCCTCAGAAGGAAGACTGGGCAATCTACTTCCATAGTGATACTGCCTCAGAAACTCAACAAGGGGTCGCTATGAGTCGGAGACGACTCGATGGCACATAATAACAACAATATATATATACATATATTTGTTGCTGTTAAGTGCTGTCAAGTTGGCTCTGACTCAGAGTGATCTTGTGTGCAAGAAAACGAAACACTGACCGGTCCTGCCCCATCCTCACAATCCTT